ATAAGTTATAATTTTTCATTCTTGTTGTTACAATAAATCTATAAGTATCATTTTATGTTATACCTATAATACCTAGATAATCATTATTTCGATTGATGAGTATTTTTGATTAAATTCACCAAAAAACTGTGATACTTTAAAAAAACAAAATAATCAAAATAACGAATATAGTATTTATTTATGACAGTGTGTACTAATGAGTAATGATCTTTAAATTAATCATTTTTTATTTTCAAAGAATTACAGCCGATTTAAATTATACGAACGAGCGTTTGCTAAAATTAGTCTTATTAAAATATTTGAACAGTGTGCAATGTGCATGTGTTAAAAAACGACCTTTTAAAATTTCAAATTGACCTCTTGATATTTTAAATAAAATAATCAAGGTCTTAAGACTATTTGAATGTCATTTGCTGCAGACGATTTCCGCAGAGAAAACTATTTACTGTTGTAGGTTGTATAGATTTTTTACGTCACATTTTTTAAATACGAGTGGTTATTTATTTCTAAGCCTATAACCTGCCTTTACCTATAACATTAAAAAAAATACTTATTTGTGATAAACATATTATCATATTTATATATTGTCTTATTAAATCCTTGTTATTGTATAAAAAAAATAACTTACGAGACGGGTCGATAGACCATATAATAATATCATTATGTCTATCGTACATGTATATACTACATGCGTTTGGTCATGTTCTCAATATTCAAGGGCGAAATAATAGATATAGGTATAATACGAAATGACCACAGTGAAGTAAACGTATGTGATTATGCCTACTATGTATACCATAAAAACGTGTAGATATAAAACCACAAAGAACTGCTTAATTTATATAATATATTATTAGGTACCTATAATGTGTATATGTAAACTGGAAAATAAATTGGCAAACGTAATCGAAATAAATCTCCGTGAGTGTGTGAGCTGTAAAACGATCGTAAGTGAGCTTTTGTCAGCACGTCGTTATAGACTATATAGTTTTATAGTAGGTATAAAAAATAAAACCCAACAAACAAAAATTAATCATTTTTATTGTATTTTAGTCGTAATATTTCAAACAGACGACAACGTCGGTAATAATAATTGTTAATGGGCTCCATCGAGAAAAAAGTTTCGACAAGATTTTTACCGACTATCATATATGCGCGCAGTGTATAATATGATGTTTGCGATCAGTTATTATCAACAGCGAAAATCTAGATCTCTATTATCTTACACCAATACTACATCGAAATCAACTAAAAAAATGTCACTCTTCAAAAGACTGACGGAAACGGTCTACGTCTATACAGTTAGTGCAACTGCATCGCGCCTTTAATGTATATAGTTACACGAGTAGCGCATAATATGCAATCTATGTAAGATATTTTTTGAATTCCAACCGCAGTACTCGTACAAAGAAAGATCATCGGTTTTGTGTTTATATTATATAATCGGAAAATGAAAATGTCGAGACCAGAGAGTACATAATATTTAGTGTCCTAATAGACATGTATAGGTATCTCATAATAGATGAATTCTTATACATTATGATGATCAGAAATGTGATGATAGGATGTAATGTGATATTCACTCAGACATTGTGACTACGTGGTCACGTGGTATGTATAAATATGACAAAAAATTTAAGGCCAGTTATTCTTTGTCCTTGCAGCGATCGAGACGAATCGTATCACCGATCTACGCTGTCCTTATAACGAAATTTGAAATAATAATAAACTTCTACGGCGGATGGAAATTTATATATATGTATATTTATACATGAATAATATTATAAGATATGAAAAGTCTAAAATAAAACACGGAGCCGACGATACACGTCAACGGTTAATTTGTCTGATTATTATTATTATCGTCACCGCTAGTCGTCGAAATGTCTGTTCGCGGGGAGAAAATTCGTCGGCGGTTTTGACGTTTTCCCGAACAAAAAATATATATATACATGACAATTTAAAAAAAAAAATCGTATAATAATAATAATAATTACTACGCGCCCACTCGACGACGGCGACGATGACGACGACGTCATTACCGACATGTCTCGTACCGCAGGCGGATCTGTCACCGTTTTAGACGCGTCGTCTGCCGCGGTGACAACCGAGTCCCGACGACGCGACGCGTGAAAAACATAAACAAGAACCTCGAACCGCTGGAATAATTGGTGCCCAAATCGACCGTCGTCCGACTTTGAGTTCAGTCGTGCAGGGACGTATGGTGGCTATACAGAAATGAAAAATAGGTGAGGGGGTAAAAAATATAGCTTTACAAATCATAAAAACGTAATATTATCGTACAATATATACTGTTATAGATACTGTAAAGTATTACACATTTTTGTGGATTAACCATCGACGATAGATATCCTCTGAAACAGTATGCAAGGGGGGGGGGATACTTCAGACCCCGTAACAGCTTTACTTGTATCATCCTCCCCTAGGTATATGCGCTGTAGCTTGTTACTATAATAATGTCGAACGTGTTAGTCAGCGAGAGGCAGAAGGAGGCAGATTTGCGTGTTATCGCACGTTTTTGACTATTTTTTCATTTCGTGTTTTTGGCAACCTCTGAATGCGCGTGTCATATACACGTCACCGCCGACAAGTATAATACACGCATGGAAAACAAAAAAAGACATACCCGTGTCGTGTAAGTACACGAAATTTGTCTCGGAATGTCTACTCCAAAGCGACCCCCCCCCCCGTCCTCTGCATCCCTCCTGCTAATTCCGGCTACGGCGGTACACGGTCTAGACGATGACTGGGGGATTAAACGTTTTTCGAGTGTGACGCTGACAACAGTAAATCGGATCGTATACAGCGATATTAACAGCTGATTTAAAATTATATATTGGTACACTCTATATATACGTACATACAGGATAAGGAAAGACAAAAGGATATCCGGTGTTTTTCTTCCGTCGTGTAACTATGCTGCAACAGTAGTTACGACCATCGATTTTTTTCCACTTTTGTTCAAATCATTATTTTTGTACCATCGATAATACAAGAGTATATTGTAATTATATTATTAGGTGTAGGTATATTATTATAGTATACCTATAGTAATAATTAATAAAGATGTCAGCAGACTTCGTGGCGCTCGTGCGCTCTCTGAACAATTAACGCTTGCACCTCTGACGTATTACAATAATAGTAATAATAATAATAATTGTAATACACATTAGCTATTATACGTATGATAATATATAACTACGTTGTCACGAGACGTGTTGAAAAAATGCTCGTTAGACCGTTTAACAGGTTGTCTAATTATACGAGAGATTTATAACAACTGCACTGCCCCGCTCGCTTTTCAGCGATTCCTTTATGCGCGTAAACCTATGTATATTTTATAGGCATATTTATATATATATATATACGTCTTTTACTAAATATATATATATGTATATATTTGTATGCACATAAATATGAGAATATAACGATTACAGTGTACATACGAGAGAGCTGTGTTTCGAGCATCAGTGACGAACGGTCAATTACGTCGTATTGTTTGCTCGCTCAATATGTATGTGCGTGTGTCCATTTATATACTCGATGATATACACAAATTATATACTGACCATATACATATATATGCATACACATTATTATACAGTAACGACTTCTGTGTTGTACTTCAGTAAAAAATTTCACACAATAACACTGTAGCTGGTATACCTATATAATCTACATGTATAAATATACATGTTATTATTATGTGTATGTGTACATGTCGTATATGCTGCATTTAGCTACTTGTTAACGGACGAACCTTACAATTTGCGCACTCGTAAATTTAAATATGTCCACACGCATTATATTTATACGCGATACTCCTATATGTATAGGTATATATTATATTAATAATCATAAATATTCTTCATTCCTAATCCTGGATGCTGCTGCATCCCATAATCGTCCTTTCGTTTTTACCCGTATATATATTCTGTTGGATTTCCATTTCAATAATTTGTGAAAACAAATATTCAAATCTAAACATATTATATTGTATGTACCTTCGAAAAACACGCCTATGCCCCCATGATTAATACGACAGTGTCAATTATATTCTAATAGAAAATGTATTTGAATTAATCGAATACACCGAAAAACTAAAACTACAAAAGTAAAATCAACGATGCTGCAACTGAATTAAAAATTAAAATTATTTTTAAATGAAACGATGTTCCGAAAATTGTTATTCTTGTTCTAAACATACTAGACCTAAAACAATAACACTATACGTAATATAACTCTCAACTTCATTTTCCATTAATATTTAACAACTATACTATAATAGTAAGTATGTATAGATATTATGACAAAAATACTTTCACAACTCATTTTGTTCAACTGGAACTTATGAGTTGAGGATATCATATATTATAATATATATGACGATTTTATACATATTTCTATATTATGTACATACAATTGTTGGTAAATACTAGTAGTATATTTAAAAATCAATGATATCACAATATAATATATACTTATAAACCTATAACCAGGGCCCTCAGAAGGGGGGGGGCAGTGGGACCTGGAGAACAGGAGCCCAGCTATTTTGGGGTTCCATTGAAATCAATTTGTAATTTTTAAAATGTTGAAAGGAATGCTTATTTTATACTGAATAATATTTGATGACATAAATGTTTGTCATTATATATCAAGTCATTTTGTTGTTTTCGTGTATGGGGTACCCTTGTAACGGGTTGTATTTTATTAGAAGTTTTGTACACAGGGCCCCGCAAAAACATTTACTGTACTCGGTCCCAAATTTGATGTGGCGGCGGCCTATCATCTATACCCTTCGCGTCGTTTATAATTTATCGCGTCTTCACTATAGACAGTATGTACTAATAATACCATCAGACACCCTATGCACACACATCGCTACCTAATCACCTGTTATCGTCATGGTCGTCGCGATAATTACTATCACACGATAGTGATTGATGTATACTCATGCTTTTTGCCTTGGATGCTTGCAGGTACGGTGAACGCCAACGGTGAGACGAAACGGCAGCGCACGTCGTACACCCGTTACCAGACGCTGGAGCTGGAGAAGGAGTTCCACTTCAACCGGTACCTGACCAGGCGGCGGAGGATCGAGATCGCGCACGCGCTGTGCCTGACCGAGAGGCAGATAAAGATATGGTTCCAGAACAGGCGGATGAAGTGGAAAAAGGAGCACAAGATGGCCAGCATGAACATGGTGCCGTACCACTATCACATGGCCGCCCAGCCCTACGGCACCCCGTACCCCTTCACGCACCTCACCACCTGAGATTCGTATTATTAATTTAACGGTTCCGTTTAGGCGGCGCCGTGGCCGCCGTCGTGTCTCAGCCGTCGATCTCCAAGTCGACGGCGGCAAAAGCGGCGGCAGAGGCGTCGCTTGGCGGCGAGCACGCGATAGGTAAGACAACCGTTAAATTAATAATACGTACAAGAAAAAAAAAAACAAAAATCGATCTGAAAATAAAATTCGCAAGACGTGCGAAAACGCGTCGCGAACGTTACACGACGGGTAGGTATGCGTGAGATTCGCGACTCCACATATCGGTCGTCATAATAGTGTAACGATGTAATGTGTATATAATATATGTGTGTAAATAGTGTACAATATCAATAACGATTAAAAAAAAAGTAATATATAATATTATGATGATGTATTTATATATTTATATTTTATATAGGTGAATACTATTTTATTTCATTAATTATTATTGCGATTTGTATTTAACTTTATCGCTTGGACATCATAACAATATAACACTACACGTTGTATCGTGTAATAATTGTGCAAATGTGTTTTTAAATAATATAATATTATAATAAAATGTAATGAATGCACTACGTCGTATTAAAAAACAAAAAAAAAAAAATCAAAAAAAAACATTTCTCTCGACACTTTTCGTTCGATTTCGTGTTATATAGTTGACTCCGGACAAGTATAATATAATATTAAAATGTATCGTCTTATGCTATATAACAATAAATTACACGCATCCATAAAAGATTTACAAAACCGATTTAAAATACGAGCAGTATAGTACGATTTTCGATTCGTATAATATTCGTCATCTAAACACCCCTTCGCCTAACGTCTGCTGTTTCCGGGTGCCTTGAACGTAAATATTTGAGTGTGTACCTTCGAGCGAAAACCGAAAAATAAACAAACTAGAATAAATAATATTTAATACGTGGCACTATATGCAGTATAAAACTCACCGGCGGTTCGTGTGCCCCGGTGTAGGCGAGAATAGCGTTTAGGCGCTTTTATATGGGAGATACACCTATTATACTAGTATAATACGTCGTACTAATTAATAGTTTGTGGAAAGGAGAGGCTATAATAACAATAAAGCAGGAGGAGGCAATCGAGATCGTACATTATGCGGAGCGCACAAATCACTGCATCAAAATATTATGTGCACATTTTTTCGTGCGATGATTATTTTAGGCGAACGCGATCGATTTCGACGGTTTTCGTCGACGATTGGAAATCTTCAAAATATTCGAAAAAGCTTTTTTGTTAACGACTCCCATGATCTCCAGTAAAATCGATGGCGCGAGACTTTCTCGCCTATACGACTTTCTGTTGTCACAATTTTATTTTTGGCCGTCGATCTCGACGATGAAGGACCGTGGAACGTGGGCGGTGGGGGGGAGATACAATCCGCACGTATAAAATGTCACACGCTTTTAGGCCGAGTTGTAACGGAAACGAACTCATCGGCACTACCTACTATAATATAATATTATAATATAACTTATTAATGTGCGCAATGTTTTACTATTATACACTCAAACCGGTTTTCATGGAACTGAGAAAAAAATGTACAATGTAATTTTAAAATCGTTATAATATATCATATTATATTATACTTATACGTCGTCGCACACGTACTATCGTGCTTATATTATTAGTACTTTTACTATATACGGTTTTATTGTAAATTATTCATTATAATATATGAAACTACAAAATGTAAATATTCTATACAATATATGGATATACTTAAATAATATAAAAAGGTATAAAATATATTATAAATTACGCTGTAACTATTTTCTGTAAATGTGTTAACCCAGAGTCTGTGATTTTTCTTTATTTTATTATTATTATTATTATTATTATTATATTATTATTATCATTATTATGTTTTAGTTTCTAAGAACAAGATATTTAAACATTAAAATACCTAGTTGTTTTTTTTATAATTTTGTTTTCTTATTTTATTGTTCTTTCTTTAATTATTTTATTATCCTATTTTTTTTTTAAATCACGAACAGTTTCCCGGGTTTTTTTTATTTTTATTTTTTTGCTATGTCGATGACGAAGTTCTATGTTTGAAAACTATTTAACTATTATAAAAGTGCAATATTTATTGTTTGATTTTTGTTGTAAAAATAAAAAAAAATGTAAACTAAATGTAGAAAGACGATTATATCATAGTGTATACTGTAAAGTAAAAAAAAATATTAATATATTAATTTATAATTCTTAGTCTTGTCATGTTGCTGTCACTCATGATATATTTTTTTTGTCTCGAATCATTAGAGTATCGATCGAGAGCATAAATAAATTATTATAATCAAAACAAAAAATATGTTTCAATGATAATAATTTGTACATAATATACATTACATTTTTAACTCGTATAGTTTATCTACAAGGTTTATTATAAAATACGAGTATATACAAATATTTTCACAGACTTGCACACGAATACCGTGAGGAGGAAACAAGGATTTTTTTTTAATTACTATATTTAATATTATAATATGAATATATATATATTATATACTATACAAAAATTATATGCCTGTTTTAATTTTTAATTTTTTTTTCCATTGTAAATAGATAATAATATGTTAAAAGATGTTACGGTGTGTTTTGAAAATTCTCTGTAAGAATCCAAACGATGATAATAATAAAAAGTAAATAAAAAATAAAAAAAAATAATGAAATAAACATAGTGTGCGTGTTATTTTTTTCCCCGATTCTCGATTTATATTTTAATAGGTTATAGCTGCTTTTCAGCACTGTTGCCGTTAGTAATAATAACGACTACATATTATTATTACAGTGTCGGTAATTGACTTTTTTGAGGGGCGCAGTGCTGCAACGAACGAACGGCGTTTAATCACAAGTCTTCATAATATAATTAAGTAGCTATATTATATTATTGGTATTATGTGTATAGGCTTGTAATCATGTATATCAAAATCGTATGGGATAGGAGGTTTTACCATATACATATATATAACTTTCGCAGGGAACGACGATGACGACGACGCCGTTATTCCCTTCGTCACTCGCGTGTACGTTAAGTTGACTACACCACACATTAACATCGACTTTATTTTTTATCGTTTTCGGTAATAGTCATTAGTCATTTACTCGGTCACACCTCGAACGTACATTAAATATAGGTACACACTATGGCATACTTGCGAGACTTTCGAGCTTGTTCCTTATGTGTAGCCGTGTAGGCACACACAAGTTATTGTCAGTTTATCTGCTCATGCGTGCAAACGTCGACGATGAGCATAATATAGCTGAAGCGATTCAATTAAAAACAAACACAACAACTTATACGTCGAACAGATGTAATAATTAACGAAAACAACTGATTATTGTTGTTGTTCATATCATCTAATATTATTATGTGTGTTGAGAATGTTGCTTTACAGGTTATATGTACTTTACTAACCTAACCTAACCTAACCTATCGTGATGGTGATTAGTATAACGCATGTGTATGGATAGGTATACATGCACGTGTTTTACATTATATGTGTATATGGTTGAATAAATTAGTGAAAGCATATACCTAATTGGTATAATAGGTATTATATCTATACATATATATTATCTATATATTGTATAGATTGTGTTCGTATTGCTATCGGAGTTAAAAACTATTTTGTGTTTAATCGAATATACATAATTCCCGTTAGTGATAAGTATTACTAATAGTAATAACTGATAACGAATTAAAAAATTTAGAAAAATTTAGATTAATAGTGAAAATAATATAAAATAAAATACATGGTACAGTATAAACTTTTCAACTTTTAAATTGAAAATCAGCTATACATTTACGCATCGTCAGCTGCAGCAATCGAGGTTTCGTCTCGATCTGACCTGAAGTATTTTGTGAAATACCGAGCTCCTGTGAATAGTTGTCTTTCCGACGGTGCATATTTTATACGGTTCACAAATTCTAAATAATTTCTTTCTAAAACATACTTTGATATTATTCATTAATATGATGTGGAGTACTGGAGTGCAGCAGTGGCGTGCTCAGCTTTTAAGGACGCATTAGGGGACATGCATTTTTTACTGTTCTCAGACCACGTTATTAACTTTATATTATTATAGCTGTATATACTTTCTTTGCTTCGTAGTATTATATTTAAAATGACAAAAATAATCCAAAAGGGGGCAGATATGCAAGATAAACTGACAACGGCTCACAAAATTAAAAAAAATTCTTCTTTTAAGTTTATTTTATTTGGATCAACTAAAATATATTATTATGAAAGTACAAGCATCTAGGTTAGAAATCTCATGTTTTCTATATCGACTTCTTGCATGGAGCCCTTGTTTGGTGAATCGTTCGCCCCGCGGTCACTACCTAATCGCTGCACAGCTGGTTGTGAGAATAATATAATTTTTTTAACACAATACGATAACAAAACAATACTGTACGAAGCAAATGCATGCAATAGGTACGGAGCGGCTCGCTTCCAGGCGGCCATACACTCATACCACTCGAACAACGCACTATTATTATACTATATACTATATGCTATAATATACTATATACTATATAGGTATACAGCTCGCGATACGCATAATCCAGACCTTGGTCCGTCGACCGAATGTATTGTGGTGCAATTTTTCTATTTCGGAATAATCCGATAGCCACTGTAAATTATTCATTTAAATGCGACGGCGACCCGTGTTCACGGCCACGTGTTATTCAAATTTTGAGACGAGACTAAAAATAAACGTGAGCCTATTCAATAAAAGGACAGAAAAAAACGTACACATATTATTATTGCGTAACGACGTAATCTCGGTGCTTCGATACTACCAGTTTCCAAAGACCTACGCTGTACCTATTTATATAAGTAGGTACCCATTATAAAATGCGTACGGCCAGACACCCACCTGCAGCAGACGTCATTGACGTAAGTATATATTATAGATTCCGTTACGGTTTGTGCCGTTACCTATGTTTTTACAAAGACATCGATTCTAACGTTCAAAGTAAAACCATAAGTAAAGTAATCTCTGGTGTGCAATGATAATAACTATTATCATATAGTTATCGATTAATATGTTATTTGGATTTCAGAAAATTATAGATTTATTCATTCACGAGTGTATGTGTGTGTGTGTGTGTGTGTGTGTGTGTGTGAATACATTATTTTTCAAAAGGCCGTTTAGTACAGCGTATCACGTAAAGTGTACACGGCAGTATATAATGCGATTAACATGTCGCTGCAGTAGTGTTAAAAGAGAATTTTCGATGTATTTATGACAATATTAATGGGTCTTAGCACTTAAAATTGTTTTTATTTTTTCAACTCCAGTGCGGATGGAAGTCGCGAGAACTATTTTCCAATTTTTCGGTGTACAGTGGCTGCTGAAG